ACACACACACACAACACACACAACACAAACAACACACAACACACAACACACAACACACAACACGCACACACAACACAACACACAACACACAACACACAACACACAACACACACCACACAACACACAAAACACACAACACAACACACACATAAGCATACACACTTGAGCGCACACAACACACAACTCACAACTCACAACACACAACACACACTTAAGCACACACACGCACTTAAGCACACACATACACACTTAAGCACACACACACACATGCACACTCTGACACACTCACACACTTAAATATACACACACACTTAAGCACACGCGCGCACAATTACACACACACACACACACACACTTACACATTTACACACCTACACAGACACGCAAACATTGTTGGCGCCGCGGCCTCGCGCGCAGCGTCGAGGCCGAGAGGGGCGGGAAGCGGGGCAAACGCGCGCGCGGCCGGCCCACTCAGAAGTCACGGGCAGGGACCCCCACCCGAAGGGATCAACACCAAACAGTTCTTTTGTGGGGAGGCGGGGCAAGCGCGCGCGCGGCCAGCCCACTCAGAAGCCAGGGGCAGGGACTCACCCGAAGGGATCAACCGTGTCGTGCGCCCACTTGGGCGTGGGCTGCGCGGGGAGAGATATGAGCATGCACACACCTTGCGTTCTTGGCATCGTGGCCGCGGCCCCGCGCGCGGCGGCGGCGGCGCGGCGAAGAAAGTCGGGCCCAGGTCACGCGGCGTGGGGACACTGCATCCGCCCAAGGGGGGTCGACAGCGTCACTCGCGATGGGGGCGGCCGCGACTGGAGCAGCGGGGGAGAGCGGGGAGGGGGCGACGGAAGAGAACCGCAGACGAGCAGTGCGGCAGTGCGGGCGACAGGGAGGTGGGCGCAGAGGCGGCCCGCAACGGCGGTGCGCACCCAGGGCGAGGTAGCGGCAGGAAGGCACAGGAAGGAGACACCGACAGCGACGGCAGGAGCGCCAGAAGGCAGAACGAGGCACACACACAAACATATTCCTCTTCCTATATTTTTATCAGCCCGGGCGGGGGGGACCCCCCCAAAAAAAAACCGGACTCCCGGGATCTGGGGCTTTGGGACCTTCCGGATGGGCCTCGAAGCGGCCCCCCGGGCCTCGCAGGGAGTTTTGCCAAGCCTTCCCAGCACACCTGGAGCGATCAGGGGGGTCATCGGAGACGTCCCAGAGACCCCCAAGACAGCACAAGAGCGCTCCAAGAGTGACCGACGTGACCTCAAGATGGCCCAAGAGGCCTCCAGGACGGCCCCAAAGAGGCCTCCAAGAGCACTCCCAAGAAGGCCCCAAGAGGCAAACACTTATGGATTTTCTGTTGGTTTTTGGTGAATTTTGGGGTTCTCCTCTTTTCGGCTTCCCCCGACGCTCCAAGACTGCTGTCTTCTGGGCGTCCGCAGCCGCCTGGGAGGCTCCAAAATCGCCCCACAACCATCCGAAAGGGCTTCCAGGCAGTCCGAGAGAGCCCCAAAACGGCACAACACGGGTCCAAGATGGCCCTCAGAGAGCCCCGTGGCGGCCCAAGATGGCCCCAAGAGACCCTCCGAAGCATTCCATATCGTGACCCGGTCGTTCAGGGAGACTGCAGTGGCGCTTCGCGCCGTGGGGACAGTGGGACAATGGTGGGGACAGTGGTGGGTACCGTGGGGAAAGTGGGGAGAGTGGGATCGTGGTGGGACAAGAGTGGGGACAGTGAGACACTGGTGGTGGCACTGGTGGGGACAGCGGGAACAATGGTGAGAACAGTGGGGACAGCGGGACAGTGGTGGGGACTGGGACAGTGGTGGGGACGGTGGTGGTGGGGACAGTGGTGTGGGGACAGTGGGAATGTGGTGGGGATAGAGGGACGGTGGTGGGGACAGTGGTGGTGGGGACAGTGGTGAGGGCGGTGGCGAGGACGGTGGGGGACAGAGGTACAGTGGGGACAATGGTGGGGACAGTGGTGGGAAAAGTGGTGGGAACACTGGGACAGCTCAGTGGGACAGCGGGGGGGGGAGGAGGGGGGGTTCGAACCGGTAGTGGCTCCCCCCAGTTTTCCGGAGGGGGTGGGGGTTCGAACCGGTAATGACCCCCCCTGGTTTTCCGGCGGGGGAAGGGGGGGAGGGGTTATAGGGGGGGGGGGGGGGGGGGGCTGCCGGGGGAATGGGGGGGGCGTTCTAGCAGGAGGTGGGGCGGGAATTTCGGAGCGGGGGGACCCTGGGTTCGGAGGAAGAGGAGGGGGAATTTTCCACAGTAAAGCGGCGGTGGATCACGCTCTCTCTCTCTCTCTCTCTCTCTGTCTCTCTCTTAAATATATATGTATATATATATATATATATGTGGTCATATATATATACACACATACGTGCATGCATGCATGCATGCATGCATACATACATCCATACCTACATACCTACATACCTACATACCTACATACCTACATACCTACCTACCTACCTACCTACCTACCTACCTACCTGCCTGCCTACCTACCTACCTACCTACCTACCTACATACATACATACATACATACATACATACATCTAGATATACATACGCACACACACACACACACACTTTTTGGCGTCGCGGCCCCGCGCGCGCAGTGGCGTGGCGAAGTCGGTCCGCAGGCGAGGGACGGTCCAGGGGCCGCGCCGTGCCTTGTCGCGGCAGCCAGGGGGTGGTTCCAGGGCGCACCCCTCCGGGCGTGCAATTTTTAACGTGGTGCCGTGCCACCCCGCCCCCCCCCCACACACTGTCGAGGGGCAGGCACGAGACGGCAGAGAGACAGGGGACAGGAGGCAGGACGAGAGGAAAGAGAAGAGACGCCAGCCAGACTGCAGCCCAGCACCCAGATGCAAAGCCTCATAGGGGGGAGCCTGCGAGTTTCCCGCACGAGCGGTCGCAATATGCCGATCTCCGCGCGTGAACCGGCGAACACGTTCTTGTCTGCTTGGCTGTCGAAGTGTATGATTTGGGGTATGGCGGGATCGATTGCTCGGGCCCCCGGATCAGTGAGTCACACTCCCTTGAGCAAGAAGGTGGAGCCGTTTGAAAGGACGGTTTTGGAGCTGCTTCTGGAGCATGCCTCAAAGGCGAGCCAACGGCGCGATCAACGCCCACTCGACCCGCAGCACCTGTTCTGCGGCGGCCGAAAGATCAGCGAGTGCAATTTCGTGGGGGGACTGACGGGCTAGGGAGGGGGAGGGATGGGGAGGGAGGGGGAGGGATGGGCAGCAGCCCACATCTCAAAGCAGGTGCACCTGCACGCTGGCACAGCGCCGTCGGATCCTCGGAGATGGCTCTCGCAGAGGAGCTGCTCCCGAAGAGCTGCAAGGCAGGCCATGGGGCGGACCCTCTGGACTTCTTGCGGATGCTCTGCAGGAGTCTCCCAATCCTCGATGCAGTCGTGGAGGAGTCCGAAAACGCAGAAGCATTTCCAGAGACCCGTTGCTCTGGGACCCGCTCCCTTCACCCTGACCACCCTCAACACCTTCTGGCCAGCAGGTCGTTGATTCATTGCTCTTCTCGAGGGGCAACAAGCTGCATACACAGAAAACTTCGGGAGCTCCCGAACTTTTATGTGTGTGTGTGCAGTTTGTTGCCCCTCGAGAGGATCAACCAATCGTCCACCTTGGTCGGAAGGTGTGGATGGTGGAGGGTCAGGGCATTTTGACAGGAGTACGCGGAGGACTACAGATGGGCCGGCCCCGAACTCCAGCTCGCCCGGGCGGCCTCGAGGACCTCTGCCGCGAACGTCCCTGCCCCCCTCTGGCCCCCCAGGCTGCGCCTCAGGCGCCCCGGGCCACGCCCTGGGCGACCCCGGGCGCCTGGCTGCTGAGACCGGGGGGGGGACTCCCCGCCTCAGGTTCCGCGCCCGCGCCGGATGCAGGCTCCCCCACGCCCGCGCCAGAAGACGTCCCCTTGACGCCGAAGCAGAGGGCGGTCCAGGACAAGAAGGGTCACAGGCGCAGTCAGGCGGCCGCCACTAAGGCCGCGCGGCGATGTCCCGCTGACGCGGAAGCAGAGAGCGATCCAGGGCAAGACGGAGCACGGGCGCGGAGGGGCGGCCAGCCAGAGCGGCCCACCACCAGAGCAGGCCAGGAAACAGGCAGCGCTGATCCAGCATCCTGGCTGGCAGAAGATTTTGGCGGGATCGCATAATCCACGGTAGGGGCGCGAAGCAGAGCTCGGAAGGCCACCGTTGGGCTCCGATACTCCATGCGTTCTACTTATCCCTGGTTCCATCTCCCCTCAAACCAGCGCTGCGGGTGCAAGATGCGTGAGAGCTTCACTGTCCCATTTCGAGCTGTAAATCCTGCTGGCCAATTTTTCCCCCAGCATTTGCGCCCAAGACTCACGGCAACTGCCGATCGCCAAATGCATAATGCAGAAGCAGTTCTTTGTTCTGATTTTCGACGGTACAGCCTGACCCTCGACGATTGTGACTGTTCGAAGAATGGCGGGGAGAGCAGCTGAAGGGAGTGCGGAGGAGACACGGTCAGACGGGGCTAGGACGAGGATCAATCTTTTCCGGAGCGTTCCAGAACGCCCTCAGAGCGTTTCGGAACGCTCTGGGAAGGGCGCGCCGCCTGAGACATCCTCCAGAGCCGCCCGGTCTTAGATATTCTCGATTTACCCTCACCCGGTTTTATCTACCCTCACCGATTTCGTCCTCTTCCTGGCTTCGTCTTACACGGAGGCCAGCGGCAGTGGCACCTTTTCCCCTCGCGGAAGAATTGCGGCCCGCCCGCTCGGGGCGCATGCTGCCCTGCGCGTGCTGCCGTCCGCGCTGCGGAGGCGAAGAGCGAGCGGTTCCTTCTGTCGTGGGACTCCTCGTTGCCACGGCCAGGGCTCGAGCTAGCGGTGTTTTCTGGTACTTTCGCGGGCCGCCCTCGTTCTGATTTCGCTTTGCAGCAAAAAGGCGGGCCAAATGCAGAAGGAGGCAGCACCAGAACAAAACGAAAACGGCGAGCACTGTTTAGCTCGAGCCCTAGCCACGGCTGGACTCCGCACTGAAGCACTTGTGCTCAGCGTCACCCCACCATACTAATCCTATGTGTACGTCGCCCCCCCAGGGGCGACCACACCGCTCGGGAAACGATATACTACAAGATGGGTATACTATCTGTTCGGGTCGGACGCGCGCCTCCAAGGAGAACATGTAGTATTGGTGTGTCTGTGTGCGTCCCATGGTGCGGGCCCAATGGAACTTGAACGACCTTCGTTGGTCTGGACCCCTTCCCTGGGACCAGTTTTTCATCCAGAGTCGTTTTTTTGGCGGTCCCGAGGCCTGGTAAGGGCCCCTTGACGCCGCAAATAGCGAAACAGTTTTATGCTCTTATTGTTTCACAACGCGAGGGAGTCTGGGATGGAACCTGGACGACCCTCCTTGGCGAGCCAAGGCCCATCGAATTTCCCAAGGCGTCCGAGCGCACTCCCGCCGCTCGGCGCTCGACCGGTCGGCCAGCGGTGGGCTGGCCCGAGGTCGCCTGCCCTCCTCGGTCGCGGCTCTTTGCCCCCCTCCCCTCCCCCCCTCGCCCTCCCCTCCCCCTCCCCTTCCCCATTTCCCTCCCCCTCCCCATTCAACACTCCCCGTTCCCCCCCCCTCCCCGTCCGCCTCCCCCATCCCCGTTCCCCGTTGCCCTCCCCTCTCCTCCCCTTCCCCTTTCCACCCCCCTCTTCTCGTTCCCCCTCTCGCCCTCCTCCTCCCCCTCCCCTCCCTTTCCCTCCCCCGACCCTTTCACCCCCTCAAAAAAGAAATCGGGTACGTATGCCGTTCCCTGGACGGGACTGCGTCGACTGCTTGCGCGCGGGCTCGCTCTTGGTCGCCGCACGCCGCATACGCCGAAATAGAAGTCGGAATTCCCCCCCACACCCGAGATCCGACGTTGCGAGAAAAGTGCAACATCGCAAAGCATCACGCCCGGCGCCCCGGACCCCACTTCCTCCGCCGTTGTTCGGGCCAGATCCATCTTTGAGGGTCCCGGAGCCCGAAATTGGGGGCAAAAAGGCTCGTTGTGGAAAAATGGCAACGCCAGGATCTCGGGTTTCCATGAACATCCCGAACTAAAGATAGCCAGCACTACCGAAATGTGTATTCAGCGTCTCGTGCACGCAGGAATGCAAACCCAAGAGCTACTTAAAGTGGCCAGGACAGCGATGTACAGAAACTAGGGTGATATACAACAAAGGAAGCGTAGACCGGGCCGGAAAAACTTGGCTAGGGCCCTGGTCCTCCCAGCCCCTCCCTCCCACCTTCCAGGCGCTCCTGGACGTGCACGTCGGGGAGCAGCACATCTCGCCGCTGGAGTGGGCGATCGAGAGCGGGAGCCTGAAGGCGTCGGCGGTGCCCGCCGCCGGCACGGCGGCGGCAGCAGCAGCAGCAGCAGGAGGAGGAGGAGGAGGAGGAGAAGGAGGAGGAGGAGGAGGAGGAGGAGAGACCCAGACGAGTGAGCGGGCAGGAGAGGGAGGAGGCGGAGGAGGAGAGGACGAGAGGCGGGAGGAGGAGGGGGAGGGAGAGGAGGACGAGGATGGGGAGGACGGGGGACGGAGAGGAGGAAGGGACGAGGACGTGAAAAACGAGGATGAGGAGTAGGAAGCGGAGGACAAGGCGGAGGACGAGGGAGGGGGGGAGGAAGAGGAGGGGGAGGAGGAGGAGGAGGAGGAGGAGGAGGAGGAGGAGGAGGAGGAAGAGGAGGTCCATTGTAAGCTCAATATCCATCAACGATACTTCAATAAACCCTACCTGCAAGTTCATGTTCATGTCCTTTTACAAGCATTCATTGACTCCCACTGAAAGAAGTGCCCTGTTGGAAAACAACCCTTTTAACATCCTGAACTTAGCCAGAACACCATGCCTGGGACTTCAACGCAGCGAATCACCTTTACCGTTGCGTCTTGACGATCCTGAATCGTGCCAAAGCGCAAATCCTGGGAATTCAGCACCACGAATCAACTGTACTGTTGCGCCCTGACGCTCCGACATCGTGCTCAAACACTATGTCCCAGACGTTAACCATGCGAACCCTTGACACGGTTGTAAATGTTTGAAACGAAGGCGGGCAGCCCCAAGGCGAAAACTACATCTTGAAAACGACTTGCCTTCCATTTGCGAGACGCTTGTAATTTTGTAACACGAAGGTGCGCGGCGCGAAGGCAAGGTCACATGTCGAATACCATTTGCCCTCCATCTGTAAAACTCTTGTATGTCTTGAGACGGCTGTGCGCGGCGCGAAGGCGAGAATAACATTCTGAACACGACCCGCTGTTGAAAATTACCAGCTTCAGGATCTTGAGAGGTGAGGAAGTCTCTGGCAAAACGCCCGGCCGGCCCGTTCGACCGACCTCGGCGTGCGACAGGGAGGAGTTATTTACAAGGAGAAGAAATTGAGCAGGGAGAGGACAAGGAGTAGCAGGAAGAGGAGGAGGAGGAGGTGGCTCAAGCCATTTTCCTGTCTCGAGCGTGGCTCATGAGGGGCGCCTGCTTGCTTTTCGGCCACCACCACGTCCGTTTGTCGCACAGATTCCTGTCCCAGCGAGCCCCGAGCCGCGTTGCTGCCATGGCTTGGGGACAGGACTGGAGCACGAGTGGGACGGGCTCTGGTGACACCCACGCCGCACTTTCAAAGCCATGCACTTGGCGGTGCGACGAGTAAAGAAGCTTTTGGAAGCATTGGAACTGCAAGCCGTGCAATGATATGTGACATGTACCTTATGTGCGAGACGAGGACGCGCTGCCTCTGGAGGCGCCCCCCAGACCTGCTTTTCGTCTCGGGACTCCAGCCTCCGCCAGGCGCCTCTGCCAAGGACCTGCTGCTCAGTGAGTCGGAGCGCCAGCAGCTGGTCCAGCTGGGTAAGAAAACCGACGACCGTGACATGGTCAAGCGTGTCTAAGGGATCCTCGAGTACGCGAGCAAACTGGCCAAGCTCCCGCCTACCCCACCTCTCCCCGTGCGCGTCCAGGAAGCGCAGCAGAGAGTGGCTGGCCTGACGCGGAAACTGGAGTTCGAGCTGTCGAATGTGTTGGGGATCCAGTTGCGTCGGAACGAGCCGATGGAGCTGGCGGCCAAACTTCAGGAAGAGGACGACGAATCGGATCGTGAATGCAAGAACCTGCCAGGGAAGGCCAGAGATCCCCTTGAGCTGCTCTTCGCTCGCGGGGGGCATCGACTGCCTCGACCTGGGCGAGTGTGACCAGCTCTTTGACTTGGGCGAGGTGCACGAGCTTACTGGCAAAGATAAGGAGAAGGTGGGCAAGCGGCGAGCCCAGCCCGTCGGCGGGTTCACTGCCTTGGCGCTGCAGCTGTTCGGGAGCGCCACGGAGACGGCCGACCGCCTCAAGGCTGAGCACGAAGCCCACAAGTCGCGCCTCGCGGCCACGAAGAGGAATACCGATGACAATCAGTCCTCTGCGCAGGAGGGCGCCCCTGGTGGCGAGCCTGCTGCTGCTGCTGCTGCTGCTGCTGCTGCCCCAGCCGCGCCTGACGCGAGCGCCGCCGCGGCTGCGTCGGTCTCTCCTGCCAGCGATGTCCGCGCGCGGGCCAAGGAGGTCCTGCAGGGCAAGGGCAGGGGGGGCGGCAAAGGAGCCCCTGCGGGCGAGGCTGGAGGCCTTGCTGCAAGGGGGGGGGGGGCAGGGAAGAGTGGGTCGGGATCGGGAGAAGGGAGGGGTGGGGGTCGCGAATGACCCGCGCCGTGGGCAGTCCACCCTGCTCGGCCGCCGAGAGCGGCGCGTGGCCCGGCGCGCCGCTGGGGCTTCTCTTCATGGCCCCGCCCGTCGCCACTTCCGCCTTTCGCCTTTTTCCGCCCTTCTTCCGCCCTCGAACCTTCCGCCTTTCTTCCGACCTCGAGCCTCCCGCCTCCTCTTCCCCCCTCGGACTTCCCGCCTTTCTTCCGCTCGGTCGCCGGGTGCCCCACCCCCACATGCGAAGCTTGCCAGGGCCTGGGGGGCCTGAAGCAGGATGCGCCGGGCCAAAGGCCCAGGGCTGGAGGCCCCAGTCAAGACGCCTCTGGAGCAGAGCTTGTCGTTGGTGATAGTCAGGGTCAGGAGTGCAAGCGATCCAGGAGCTCGGGCGATGGTGGGCCTCTCCGTCTAGAGACGCGCAAATCGACGAGCTGGGAGTCCGTGGAGCTCTAGCTCGGGAGCGAGACTGACAGCTGGATGGCCGTTGCCCACGAAATCGCAGTCGACCCTGGGGCCTTCGCGAGCAGCGATGATGACCTCAAGAAGATCGGACGGGACGCTTTTCTCCAGGCCTCTGAGGTGGCGGGTGCGGGGGGATTGTCTGTTGGAGTCGGAGTTGTTGTGCCTCCTTTTGTGGGGATGGACCTGCCTCCTGGTAAAGTGAGCTTGCCCTCGGGCTCGCAGGGTGATGGCCCGCCGGTCAACGCTTTCGCGCCCGGGGTTTTCTTTTGGCCAGTGCGCGCTGGCCGCGGGGGCGGGCCCTCGGAGAGGAAGGGGCTCGCATGTTGTCCAGATTGGGGGAGATCTTATACGGATGGGGCCGAGGGCCTAACCATGCGTCATCGGAGGGGGCCGGGGCGCAATTCCTCCGCGTCTCGCCGAAGCGAGGCGGGCGGATCGTCTCGGAGGGGTGATCGTCAGTCCTCCCCAGTGCACGCGTGTCTCTACAAGAGCGGGACCTTGAGGGTTTGTTTTTTCCGCCGCGGCGGCAGGACTGGCCAGGAGCGCGCAGAGCTGCGAGGTGAATGACGGCACCTCGATGGCTGCTCACTAGCCCGTGCGCGTCATTTCAAGGGGGCGCCGCTCGCGCCGCAGATCTAAGTTTTGAAGATGCCGCGGGCTATTTCTGACGCATGCTGTCATTGGCCCCCAACAGGGGCCACCGCCGTGGAGCGACCTCAAGGAGGTCGCGCTCATGCGGGGGAGCCAGATGTCCCTGGACAAGCGTTGCCATATTTCCTTGGAACGTTTGGAATGGGAGCTTGCCGTTTACCATGGGATACAGCACGAGACTCAGTACCTGGGACGTGGGCAACCACCTGAGCGAGTCCTGGTCTCTGCGGCCCGGGTCTCTGGAGAATGTTTTCCCTTGGGGTCGCCAACGCCGTTGTTGGAGGCAGGTGAGGGCATGTTCACTCCTTTGCCAGAAGCACACTGGCGGATGCGCGAACGAGTCTGAGTATGAGTGAGCTCGAGTATGGGCGAGTATGAGTGTGATGCGTGAATCTGAAGGAAAGAGCCACATGACACGCGTGCCGTGGCTCTTGTACATATCGGAGGGTTATGATGATGATGATGAGGAGGAGGAGGAGGAGGAGGAGGAGGAGGAGGAGGCGTGGGACGAGGACGAAGACGAGGAGGTGAGAGGGAGGACGAGAAAAAGGAGAAGGAGGAGGAAGAGGGGGAGGATAATGATGGGTTAAAACAGGGAAGCAAATGGCGACGGAGAAAAAAGGAGGACACGGGAGACGGAGGACGAGGAGAGAGAATGGGGGGAGGGGGGACGAGGGAGGAGGACGAGAAAGAGGTAAAGAGGTGCGCCAGGAGCAGGAAACGGAGTAAGCAGACCATGAGGGGAAATAAGGCGAGGGAGCTGAAGCAATCACATAATTTAAGACGGCGAACAGGGGTCTGCAAGGCGGGCAGGACGATGGTTCGGGATTGGCGGCCGAGACAGCCGGGGGCCACGGCGGAACCCATGGGGGCTGATCCGCGAGGACGACAGTGCTGGCATGAAAAAGTCGGGGCGGGGCTGTCACGCTGGCTGGCGGACGAGGAGGAGAAGGCTCGCTGTGGGGGAAGGGGGGCGTGGCGCCAGTGCCGTGCCGTAATAAAGGGATCGGGCCAGAGGGGGCGCGCTGGCTGGTGAGCAAACAGGAAGTGGGCTGGCTGTGGGGTAGGGGGGGGGAGGGCGCGACAAAATACAACATGGGTCGGGCCGGAAAGAGCGCGCTGGATGGCGAGGAAGGAGGAGCTGGGCTGGCCGTTGGGGCGCAAGGGAAGGCGCGGTGCCGGTGCCGTGCCGAAGTCAAAGGGTCGGGTGGAAGGGGCGCGCTGGTTGGTGGGCGAGGAAGAGTTGGGCTGCCCGCGGGGGGGGCAAGGGGCGCGGTGCCGGTGCCGTGCTGAAGCATAAGATATAAGGGTGGGGGCGGAGGGAGCGCGCTGGCTGGCGAGGAGGAGCTTGCTTGGCTGTGGGGGGAAAGGGATGGCGACTGGCTGCGGAGATGGGGAGGGGGGCGGACGCGGCGCCATTGTCGTGCCAAAGGATCGAGGCGGAGGGGGCGCGCTGGCTGGCAGGGGAGGAGGAGTTGGGCTGTCTGCGAGGGGAGGTGGGCGGGCGTGGCGCCGGTGCCATGCCGAAAGACAGAGGTCGGGGCGAAGGGGGCGCGCTGGCTGGCGGGGGAGGTCGAAGTGCGCTAAGTGCGGAGGGGGGACTGGTGCGGGGCCAAAACTAAAGGGGTCGGGGCGGAAAGGGCGCGCTGGCGCGCTGGGGGCTTCGGAGAAGGGCGGAAGGGGGGACCAGTGCCGTGCCGAATAAAGTGGTCGGAGCTCTAGACGAACAGTGCAAGGGAATATTGATGAGTAAGTCTGAGTGTGAATGAGTGCGTGCAGGTGATGAATAGGAGGAGGAGGAGGAGGAGGAGGAGAAGGAGGAGGAGGAGGAGGAGGAGGTGGAGGAGGAGGGGCGGGGGAGGAGGAGGAGGAGGAGGAGGAAGCGTGGGAGGAGGAGGACGAAGAGGAGGAGGACGAGGAAAAGGAAATGAGTGAGGAGCGAGCAAGCCGAAAGGGAAGCTGGGAGAAGCAGACAAACCGCCTGAGACGTCCCCAAAATCTGGGCGCGGACGGGCGAGTGTCACACCCCCCTGGCGGCTCCCCCCTGGGGTGCCCAAGTGCCACGCCTGCTTTGCCGCGGTGAGCAGTGGACCACCAAGAGGAGAAAAAAAAAAGTCGGGGGTGCAGAAACAGGCAAGCCGCCTGAGGCATCCCCACAATCTGGACGCGAACGGGCGAGCATCATGCCTTCCCGGCGGCGCCCCCTTGGGATGCCCAAGTGCCACGCCTGCTAACAAAAGAGAGAAGCCTCGTGGGCGGAAACAAGCGAACCGCTTGAAACGTCCCAACGATTTGGGCGCGAACGGGCGGGCGAGTTTCATACCCCCTGGCGACTCCCCCTTGGGGTGCCTAAGTGCCACGCCTGCTATATGGTGGTGGGCAGTGGACCACCAGAGAAGTCTAAGTGAGGAAGAGCGTGGAGTATGAATGTTAATGGGTGGGTCCGAGTGAGCCTGAGTGAGTTTGAGTCTGAGTAAGGTCTCGGTGAGGAGGTGATGAGGCTGAGCCTTAGCGAGGGACAGTGAGTCTGTGACGGGCCCCGTGAAGAAAAGTGCGTCTGTGATTGATTTTGTGATGGGCGTGAGTGATCTGAGTATGAGCACCACATTAATATGAGAGTGAAGAAGAGGAAAAGGAAGAGAAGAGGAGATGGAGGAACAAGGTCCGGAGGCGTCTAAGTAATAACCAACCATTCTAGGATATGGGGAACAATTGCACCAGATGGACCCTGGGAGGGGTCTGGGGATTGGATTTGAGCAGATTTGCCCTTATCCCCCCGTTCTCTCGAGGCCCAGTCAGTTCAGACCCCCCAGACGCCTGCAAGATGGGGCTGAAGAGGGGGGGGGGACGGTGGGGGATCCCTCACGGAGGGGGCCGATGTGTTGGCGCACGCGGCTCGGCCCAGGTTGCGCAACCCACCTCCCACTTCCCCCTGTCCGTCGTGCGCCCGTGCTCTGCGTGCATGCACTGCGTCAGCGACTGCGCAGTGACGCCGCGGGTTGGGTCTGCGCGGTGAGATTGTAAAGAAGTGCGACGGAGGAGGACCAGGTCGAGGAGGAGGAGGAGAAGGAGGAGGAGGGGGAGGAGGAGGAGGAGGAGGAGGAGGAGGAGGAGGAGGAGGAGGAGGAGGAAGGAGAAGGGTCGAGCATGAGCAGGAGGATGAGGACGAAGAGGAGGAGGAGGAGGAGGAGGAGGAGAAGGAGAAGGAGGAGGAGGAGGAGGAGGAGGAGGGAGGGAGGAGGAGGGATGAGCATGATGATGAGGAGGAGGAGGAAGAGGAGCAAGCGTGGGAGGAGGATGCTCAGCCGTGTTTTCGTTCCCCTATTTTCTCAGCCGCTCGGTGCCCAAGAGTTCTGTTCTTCCCTGCCCCATGGCATACGCTAGAGACGGGCGGGGAGTCGAAGGCTCCAGTGCCTGCGCATACCTGTCTGCATCGTTAATGCGTCAGGTGGGGGAGGACGAGGATGAAGACTTGGGATGGGGGGGGGAAATGGGTTAGGGGGGAGGCGGGCGAGAACGAGACGGAATGCGAGGGGGAGGGAGGGGCACGGAGGGGCAGGGCAGACGGAGAGGGGCGAAGGAGCGGGCAGGAGGAACGGACGGGAGGAAAGGGCAGGATATACGAGGGAGTGGGGGACGGGACGTACGCATTTCTGTAATTTCTTTGGGCCGTCAGTACGTGCAGCACGTGCGCGGGCTCAGCTGGAAGCCGTTTTTAGTCCGCGTGGGTACAGAGTTCGGAGATGGACTTCACTGATCTGTTGCTGAGGATGGAGAAGAATGGAAGGGAAAGGAGGTCGAGGGCAAGCAGAAACACGAGGAAGAAGAGGGCGACAAGGGGACGAGAGCGAGGAAATGGTGAGGAGGAGGAGGATGGTGTAGGAGGAGGAGAATGAGGTCAGGGGGGCCCGTCTGAGGTGGCGGACGCCATCTTGACAGACCTTCTGACCATCCGCGCCGATCGGTCGCGGTATTACTACGGCGTGGACGAGCTCTTCGAAAGGCCGACAGTTCTCCGACACCCAAGAATCGCCCTCCCCTCTACCTCTGCGGTCCTTCCCTTCTTCCCTCCTCCCCCAGACTCCCCCCTGCCTGCTTCTCTCCATCCTCCTGTCTCCCCTTCCATCCTCCTGCTGCTGCTGCTGCTGCTGTTCCTTCTCCTCGTCATCATCCCCTCTTCTCTCCTCCTCTCCTTCCCTCCACACCTCGTCCACCTCCTTCTCATCTGCCTCCTGCTCCTCCTCCTTCTCCTCCTCCTCCTCCTCCTCCTCCTCCTCCTCCCCCTTCCCCTTCCTCCCTCATCTCCCTTTCCCCGCCATTTATCAGTATCCTTTTTCTCGTCCCTCCTCCTCCTCCTCCTCCTCCTCCTCCTCCTCCTCCTCCTCTCCCTATGTCCTCCTCCCTTTCCCCGCCCGCCTGGCCCTGCCCCTCCCTCCCGCCTTCCCCCCCACCACTCGGCCCCTCTCAGCCTGCCCTCCTCCCTCCTCTCGCTCCTCCCTCCCCCTTCTCCTCCTCCTCCTCCTCCTCCTCCTCCTCCTTCTTCTCCTCCTTCTCCTCCTCGTCCTCCTCTCCTCCTCCCTTTTTCCCCACCCCCCTTCAAAAATCGATGGAATCCGGAGGTTTGGGTCGGTAACCTCCGGAGGTTACCGATTCCCCCCGGGGAAGGAATCGGTAACCTCCGGAGGTTACCGATTCCCCCTGGGAAGGAATCGGTAACCTCCGGAGGTTACCGACCCACCCCTCCCCAACAGACACCACCAGCGCAAGAAGCAAGCCCGCGCAACCAGAAGGGGCCGCGCGAGGACACGAAAGAGGACACGCGCACCGAGAATGGGGCCCTTACCTCCCCTTCCCCGAGGAGCGGGCAGACCCTTGGAAACAGACGAGAAAACCAAGGGAGGGGAGGGCCGAGGACAAGGTCGGTAACCTCCGGAGGTTACCGATCCCCCCCCCCTTCCTCCCTGAGAGAGGAGGCAGGCCCTTGAAAAGATACGAGAAAAACCGAGCGAGGGCCGAGGACAAGGTCGGTAACCTCCGGAGGTTACCGATTTCCCCCCCCCCCTTCCTCCCTGAGAGAGGAGGCAGGCCCCTGAAAATATACGAGAAAAACCGAGCGAGGGCCGAGGACAAGGTCGGTAACCTCCGGAGGTTACCGATTTCCCCCCCCCCCCTTTCCTCCCCGAGAGAGGAGGCAGGCCCCTGAAAAGATACGAGAAAAACCGAGCGAGGGCCGAGGACAGGGTCGGTAACCTCCGGGGGTTACCGATTTCCTTACGAGGAATACGAGGAGGAGGAGGAGGAGGAGGAGGAGGAGGAGGAGGAGGAGGAGGACGAGGAGGACGAGGAGGAGGAGGAGGGGCACGGGGAGGACGAGGAGGAGGATGGGGGAGGACGTGGGGGAGGAGGACGAGGAGGAATAATAGGAGGACAAGGAGGACTAGGAGGGAATGGAGAATGAGGAGGGAGACGAGGAAGAGTATGAGGAGGAGGAGGAGGAGGAGGAGGAGGAGGAGGAGGAGGAGGACGAGGAGGAGGAGGAGGAGGAGGAGGAGGAGGGGCACGGGGAGGACGAGGAGGAGGAGGATGGGGGAGGACGTGGGGGAGGAGGACGAGGAGGAATAATAGGAGGACAAGGAGGACTAGGAGGGAAAGGAGAATGAAGAGGGAGACGAGGAAGAGTATGAGGAGGAGGAGGAGGAGGAGGAGGAGGAGGAGGAGGAGGAGGAGGAAGAGGAATGTTATGAAGATTCGGGCGAAGCCCAGGGCGCTGGCGCGGGGGACCAGTCGACATTCACGTAGGTTCCCCGTGGTGGTTCCTGGAGGGGTTTGGGGGTCTCAAGATCCCACCTTGAAATTCATCCAGGGTCCGAGGGTATCCCCCGGAGATTTTTATGCCCTTTCTTACGAGTTGTTCTCGGATAGTCCAATGGTCCCCCTGAGGGTCGCCTGAAGAGTTTCACGGCTCCCCCGGAGAATCTTGGTTCCCGCTGGGGTTCCTGGTAGGTTTCAGGATCCACCAAGAGATTCTTGGTGTTTTTTGGTGGACTCCATGATTCCCTTTTTGGCGCCAGGAATGTTCGAGGGCTCGACAAACAGATCTATTGTGCCGAGTACAAGATCAGTCATGAGACCGACAGTATAATCGAAATTCAAATGGACAGTGATATCGATAGAGAAATCAGTTGTGAGACCGATATCGAAGTCGTTTCTGACAGATTAAAAACTCGATTGTGAGATCGACTGTGAGACCGAAAGTATGGACCGACAGTGATTTCGATAGTGATGTCGTCAGTTCGATCGATGGTGTTATCGTTTTTTTTTTAAACTCGATGCTGGATTCGATGGTAACACCGGCAACCATCGTTTGTAACCGATGAAGATAACAACCTTGATTTCAACCGCGGGACCGACATTGAGATCGATAGTGATATCGACGGTATGATATCGATGGTGGTATATTGTTCGATGGTGGTTCGGATAGTGAGACCCGTACTGGTATCGACCGTATGATCCATGCCAATGTGGACACTAGGGGTTGATAGGGATATTCGTTGTGAGAATGATAATGATATCCATAGCGTGACCGATCTTGATATCGATTGTGGAATCGATGGTGTGATCAACCGTGACAGCGTTAGTTGGATCGGTTGTGAAGTCGGTATTCACATATATTGAGCCGTCTTGTTGTTGAAGCCAGACGCGAGCTCGATGGAGTTAGGGCTCTTTTCCCCCTGAGCCTTGTTATCACCCCAGCGCTTGCCGTATAGGTTGAAAGGTTACTGGATGTCGTAGTGGATTTTTCGATGTGGCCTCCCTGGTCTCCTCCCAGGGTTTGTCTTGTTGTCCTCCTGTTTTTGCATTCTGGCTGAAAGATTGTTGTCTTCGAGCTATATAAGGTGCTCGTTGGAGATTCTGCACTCCGTGAGGGGGGGACGTAGGAAGCAGTGCCTATTTCCATGGGGGAACTTGTGCATAGTCGCTCATTTTTGCTATACTCACGCTCCTCCTGCTGTTTGTATTGGGCCCGCACCCCCTTCGCAGCAATCTCGGCTGTGCTATTGCAGTATCGTCTCTGAACTTTCCACAGCCGTTCCACTGAGTTGTGCTGTTGTCATGGTGTGCTTGTGGGGGCTCCTGTGGCTTGCGAGTGCGAGCCATGCAGTTATTCTGTTTCGCCGGCAGACCGTGCGAGGTCAACCAGTGCCTGGTGCCCGATTGCAGTTCCGCGCAACCCAGGATTTGGGTGGATACGGGTGCCACGTGCACCCGCGGTTACCAAACCGGCAAGCAGATACAGCTTCGGGGGCCCAGCAGTTTTTTCCTTTCAGGGCTTTGATCCGACAAACCCAGGCGCGCCTCCGCAAGTGTGTTTCTGTTGTATTTGATGGGTATGTTTGGTTCGAAGAGGAGGAACGACATAGACACAAACATGAACTTTCGGCGGTCTTCCGCGGAAATCCTGCATCTGCGCTGGGTTCCCTTGGGGGCGCTTCGGGCGCCGCGCCTCGCGCGTTCCGCGCGCCAGGGAAGGGGCCCACCGCTGATCCAGGAGATCCACCGTGAACGCCCAAAAGTTTATGTGAATGTCGTTTTTCTTCTTGGTGCCCCTCCCAGGAGTGCAGTCAAAATGACACCGGGGAGGGCTGGCTTCCAACTGATCTATGTTCCCAACGCCCCATGGCGACGAGGCGCAATCCGTGGACGAGGATGTCGACCAGGACGGGTTCCCCTTGAGCATGCCCGTGGAAGAAGATATCGAAGTGGACGGTTTCCCTCTGGGCACTCGTCGCTGGTCTTCTCGTTTCTTCTCACGCGAAGAATCAGAACCCATGGGGCAGGAGTTCGATGCGATCTCGTCTTCCCAGCCAAGGACCCCAGGGAACTCTTCAACTGCTCTCGTGCTGGCGTCGCAAGCGCTTGCGGTGCCTGCGGCCCAAGATGGTGACAAACCAGCCCCGGCGAAGAAACGCAAGACACAATGCGATTGGAGGCCGTTCGTCACCGAACCGTTCGACGGTACCAAGACGCTCCGGGAAGCTGCCAGGGCATTGCTGAAAAGTCGCGGCTTGAATTACCACCCTCTGGCTCCGAACACGCACGGGGAGAAGCCAGCCGTCATTGCAAAGTGCCGTGGGTGTGATCAATGCGATAAGGCTTGGAATTTCTACGTGCTCGAGGGCGAGCAGATTTTGGTAGCTGAGCAGTCGGGGGAATGCTCAGGCAAAAAGAATCTGGCTTTAATCAAGAGAGAGAATTGCCGAGAGTATGCGAAGCTTGGGCCCCCCGGTAAAGCGCGGAAAAAAATGGACCAGGCAGGCCTTCCAGAATCAGAGCGCCCGAGCGATGAACAGCTCGCCAACCGACGCAAGCTCGAGAAGCAGAAGCACGAGCCAGAAGGGCCCAAGACGTTCCCAGCTATCTGCTTGGGCGCCTTTAGTATGTTTGTGGGGGATGCCCCAGCAAGTGTCCATTTATTCCGATCGCGTTCGTATCCGACAGCCACCGAGGAAGCATTCCTCGTGCCGTTCGCGTCTCCGGCTGCTCTCAAATTGGCGCCCGACTTGCCCACTTCGGCGTTCTTAATGGATCCGTGAGCCTTCGGCCGTCGACGCCGCCCCAGCCTTGCGCGCGTCCGCGGCCGCCTTGGCTCAAAGCGGCCGGCCGCCCAGATTTGTTTGTGCCTCGCCGCGAGGCACGCAATTTGTATCGAGACTAAAAGGTATTCCCTCTTATTTGAGATGGCATCTCCTCTTGCATTGGGACTATCGCTACTGCGGTGCAACAGAGCGGGAGCGTGGCTTCGCCTGAGGCGAAGCCGTTGGCTGGGCCTCCCAGCCCGCTTCAAACTGTCTCTATCGACCGACCGTTGGGGAGTGATCAGTCCGTCCATCGGTCGTCTTCTCCCACATGCAAGGGGCGCCCGCGCGGGATTCGCGGACTTCACGTTCAAGACGAATTGCCACGGCGTTGCGCTCGGAAGCATCGGGCCCGTCGGTTTGGTCGTGGACGACAGTGGCGTCGTCTCCATGCGTTACGTCCCCACCATATTCGTACTGTCCCGCGAAGAGGACGACGAGGCCCGGAAGTTATGCATGGATCTCTTCTTCCAGACGTGCGGGGGGAAGGAAAGATACACGGACGCACTCCTCGATTACAATTGCTTGCAGACCGCTGAGAAATATTATGGTGATTCTATCCGAAATGGCCTTGCACCGCGCCGCCGCGTTTTTTTCTCGGAGAGCGCGCTGCGCTATGCAAGAGCTCTGTCGTGAAGTTCGGGCGCCGTCGTGCTCCCCCTCCTTTTCTTTCTTTTGTTATTCCTCCTCTTCCTTTTCCTCATGGCGTGTGTCCTCTTCCTCTTCTCCTTTTTCGTCCTTCTCCGCCTCTTCTTCGTCGTCAGTAGCGGCGGCGGGGGAAATAAGTCGCCCCCTTTGTTGTCGGGGCCCCTGGTCCGCCAACAATATCGTCAAACATAGTTTCTCCCCCGCAGTTGCGGGGTGGTTTCTTAAAAACCTAGCTGCGTTAACGACGAGCTGTAGAAATCAACGCTGCAACAATGGAAGCTGGAACCGTCAACTGGGGCAGGCAACTGCGATCCTGGGCCTGGTGGCCCCGCGACAAGGGCTGGCGGATTTTCTTGCACCGTTGCTTGTGGCATACGAAGGATGACGTCGCCAAAGCAGCTGCTTGCAGGGCCAGGAAGGATGGGAAAAAACGCCTGGTCCGCGACGAGATGTTGCCACTTATTAAAGAATGGATCGAGTTCTCTGCTACTCTACCTTCGGACATTGAATTTCATTGCTTCTGGACCAGCATACTTGCCCGTATGGAGAGAGCAGGGAAGAAATCATATAATGTTCGCTTTGCGGGGTGCCCGTCCAGACCGCGCACAGCAGTCGTCGTCGCGGTCGTCGCGTTGGTCATGGTCGTGCTCGCCCGTGCAGATCCGGACAGATCCGGACAAAAGTGCAGCCCCAGGAATCCTTAGGAACCTTTTAAATTTCAAATGAATCTTTAGGAATCCTTTCCCAGAACACCACTCCCAGGCCACATTTTCAATGCCCGGAGCCAACTGTAGGCCACTTCGTGTTCTTCGTGTTCCCAGAACACCATTCCCAGGCCACATCTTGAATGCCCGGAGCCAACTGTAGGCCACTTCGTGTTCTTCGTGCTCCCAGAACACCATTCCCAGGACACATTGTGAATGGCCGGAGCCAACCGTAGGCCACTTCGCGTTCTTCGTGCTCCCAGAACCCTGACTCCGGATCCACCCTACTGTGGGGAAACTCGTAAGTAGAGCTTGGAATTCCCGCCTCACTTTTTCAAGGCTGCGGCAAGGCTGTGGCTGAGGCAGGCTGCGGCTGAGGCAGGCTGTGGCTGAGGCCGATGCAGGCTGAAGCCGAGGCACGTTGGGGCTGAAGCTGAGGCAGGCTGAGGCTGAGGCTGAAGGTGAGGCAGGCCGAAGGTGAGAGGCTGAGGCTGAGGCTGAGGCTGAGGCCGAGGCAGGCTGAGGCAGAGGCTGAGGCAAGCCGAGGCAGGCTGAGCCGAGGCAAGCCGAGGCCGATGCGGTCCTTGGACGTTGTCGCTGTCGTCGTGGTCCTCGTCGTCGTCGGTGTCGCCGCAGTCGTCGTCGCGGTCGTCGTCGTGGTCGTCGTCGTGGTCGTCGTCGTCATCGTGGCGGTCGTGGACGCCGTCGCCCCGCAGAGCGTTGGCCACCCCTGGTGGGGTCAGCGAACTTCAACGAACCTGCCATGGCGTCCTATCGAAGACGCCTTCGGCGAAGCACCGCCGCCCTTTTCCATTTTGGAAGCGCCTACGTGGCCGAAAGTAGGGCTGGGGCTGGGCCAAGCTATCGGACCACGTGTTCTCCGAGTCGGCTTGGATCGTTTTCGGGGAATACGTGGCGGATAGTGAACACGAAGGGGAGGCGGAAACGGAAAAGGGCAAGGCAAAGTAGGGACTGCTTGGGAATCTTCATGGGGGTTCCTTGGCTCTCTTGGGAAATAGCTCCCAGAGGCAATGTTGGCAGGATGTCTCGAGCGGAACGCTTGTTTCCCAATGAACGCGTGTAACAACCTAGGGCGTTTTAAGATGTTGGTTTCTCGGGCTATCTTGGACGTCGTTCGAGGGCGCCCAGGCATGCTCTTCGACCCAATGCTACGCAACATTTTGGACGTCGCTCGAGGGCGCACTTGTCACGGAAATGGCTCGGGCCCAGGGTCCTCGTTTGGTGTAGCATTTTCCACCGAGTCCACTGCACCTGATAATTGTGCGGGTCCCCGAAGTTAGCCGCGGGAAACAATGACGCTCTCGCTTGAGTTTTGGTTTCGTGATTCTGGTGATGATGGTGGGCCGGGGGAGGGGGAGGAGGTGGAGGAGGAGAGGAGGGGGATGATGACGATGATGATGATGATGATGATGATGATGATGATGATGATGATGATGATGGTGATGGTGATGGTGATGGTGATGGTGATGATGCTGCTGCTGATGATGATGATGATCCTGATGATGATGATGATGAGGATGATGATGCTGATGCTGATGATGATGATTATGATGATGATGATGGTGATACCGATGATGATGATGCTGATGATGATGATGATGATGATGATGATGATGATGATGATGATGATGATGATGATGATGATGATGATGATGATGATGATGATGATGCTGATCGTCATGATGATGATGCTGATGGGGAGGGGCAGGAGGCGGATGAGGGGGGCCAGCACGAGGAGGAGAGGTCGAGGCGGATGAGGGGCAGGAGGGGGAGGATGGGGCAGGAGGAGGCGGGGGAGGGGCAGGAAGAGATGGAGGAGGGGCAAGAGGGGGTGGAGGCGGAGGCGGGACAGGATGAGGGGCAGGCAGGAGGCGGAGGAGCGGCAGGATGAGGCGGATGAGGGGCCAGGACCAGGATGATGGTGAGGATAAGGATGAGGATGAGGATGAGGATGAGGATGATGATGATCATGATGGTGATGGTGATGGTGATGGTGATGGTGACGATGATGATGATGATGATGATGATGATGATGATGCTGATGCTGATGATGCTGATGATGCTGATCGTCATGGTGATGATACTGATGGTGAGGGGCAGGTAGCGGATCAGGGGGGCCAGGACGAGGAGGAGGAGGTTGAGGCGGATGAGGGGCAGGAGGAGAAGGAGGGACAGGATGAGGGGCAGGCAGGAGGCGGAGGAGGGGCAGGAGAAGGCGGATGAGGGGCCAGGACCAGGATGATGATGAGGATGAGGATGAGGATGAGGATGGTGATGATGATGATGATGATGATGATGATGATGATGATGATGATTTTGATGATGATGATGATGATGATGATGATGAGGATGAGGATGAGGATGAGGATGAGGATGCGGATGAGAATGAGGATGATGATGATGATTATGATGATGATGATGGTGATGGTGATGGTGATGGTGATGATGATGACGATGCTGATGATGATGATGATGATGATGATTGTGATGATGATGATGATGATGATTATGATGAGGATGAGGATGAGGGTGATGATGAGGATGATGATGCGTATGATGATGATGGGATGGGGCTCCGAACCCCTTACAGATTCCCAGGACTGAGGACTGAGGCTGCGGAGAGGATCTGGGGGTACGCCCACTCCGTGCCGAAGGGCACAGCGGCGGATTTGCGGAACAACATCCTGGATTCGTCTGGGGATCTCTTGCGAGCTACGTGGTCGTACGGCCTCGGGACCGTCCCTCCTGGGCTGACAACTTACGCCACGAATTGCATAGAGCGGCATTGGCGCACCACCAAGGGCCTTTTCGATGAAGGGTATTCGCAGCAGGACGCAGCGAAACTAGTGAAGGAAGCCTGCTCCATCGTCGCCTCGCGCATCTCTTGTGGGAAGTATGACGGCCTCGTCGGCGCCGTGACCAAGCCGCCACCGTGCATCTTCGACTGGGGGGCCAAGAAGAAGGTCAGCGGCCGCGGGGAGGCGAACGACGACCCGGCAATTCTCAGTGACGCCCAGGCGAGGCGTTTGGACGTCAAGAGGATCTTGGCGCATTATCGCGAGCATGGCGAGCAGGGGACTCTCGTCCGGAAGACATGCAGCGTGATCCTGCCAACGGGCCACGTTGCCAAGGAGGCCTGCGGGCGGGCGAGAACCTTCCGTTGCCTGGCGTCCGGCCCCAGATCTTCCTCACTCTCCCGTGTGTCGGGTCCTCGTTTTGAATGTGGCTCGCACGAATGAATCAGGTTGGGTCTTCGCCGGGTGATTATTCCTGGGCCGGGGGCCATGGAGGAACGAGTGGGCACGGGCGCCGCGCCGCGGGGTTCCCGCGCCCGCTGCAGGCGTTCATCATGCCCAAGTACACGCTGTCATTTGCACTGGACCGCCCGCACGACATGGCCGCAGCCATGCAGCTCGCATTGGCCAGCTCCACAGATGAGGTGTACGAGGCGTGCAAGGACCCAGAGACGGGGGTTTACGACTTCCTCAGACACATGGCGTTGAGACGTTCCTACGTGTCCGTTTTCGCAGTAGACCACCAAGGCGCCCTTTTGCTATTCGATGGCCACAAACACTTCGTAGCAGAAGGCGGGTTCACAGAGCACACGGAGTTCGTGCGAGGCCGCCTCTCGGACGGATGGCTCGCCCCACTGAAGGACGAGGCCAAAGGGGGGAAAAAGGCGCCAGGCCGGAGGCGCCCCGCGCCCAAGCGTTCCTTGGAGCTCCAGGCGATGCTTCGGGCGCCAGACGAGCCGCCCGAGCCGACAATGACGGAGAGATCGAGGGCCGATGGCGCGCGCGGCGATGCCCCTGCGCCTGGCGTCGTCGATGAGGCGGAGGCCCCTACTTCGGTGCCCTGCGGGCCGTCCCACGGCGAGCGCCCGCCCGATCCGCCCGAAGGGTTGCGACCAGACGATGGGGTTTGCATCGCTCGAACTGGGCGCGGCTGGCGTTGCGAGCGGCCCAAGAAACACGGTGACTATTGCGCGCAGCGCGCGAAGCAGGTCACGACGGCTGGCTACCGGCACGACTTGGCCAAAGGGCTAAAGCGCGCCTTCCTCGACGCGGCCCGGTCCTTCCGTCTGAGACAGGCTGCCGAGGAGAAGGCGCAACTAAAGGTCGCCATCCAGAGGTCTCTACAAGATGGAGAGGCCGCGCGGCAGAGGCAGGAGCGCAGCCTGGAAATCTTAGCGCCGCGGCTTCGAGAAAGAGGGTTGGTCCGCTTAGAGACGGAACCTCTGGGCAACTGCCAATTTCTCGCAGTGGCGCGGAGCGCCGGCTTGGCATACTCCCACGAGAGCTTGAGAGAGCAAGCCTGCGATTACATGTCGACGCTGAAGGACATGTTCATGGGCTTCGCAGGCGTGGACGACCTCGACTACGACGCCTACGTCGCGGACATGCGCAAGGACGGCACGTGGGGTGACGAGCTCACCCTCACGGCGCTCGCGCACCTTCTCATGCGCCCCATCTTCGTGATCAGCGACACGACGGACCCCGCGTACGTGCTGGAGGCGCTCCCGCCGGCAGCGGTCTCCCGGCGCGCATGGGGCCCCGGGATCTGGGTGGTCCACCAGGGCGAGCGGCATTACGAGGCGACGGCGCCAGCACCAGCGCCGGCTTCGGAGGAGAACGAGCCCAGGCAGGGCGCAGGAGAGTGATGGTAGGCGCGCCGCGCCGCAGTCAGAGGCTGATCGAAGACGCCTACGGCGAATCACCGCCGCTCCTTGCCTTTTCGGGGGCGCCCGCGTGGAGTCTGCCTTTTCGGGCCGAGGCTGCCCAGCGTGCAGCCCGCCTGGTGGTATTGATTCTGCAACACATTTTCCTTTCCACATTGCTTAACGGGCGTTCTAACCTGTACTTTCCGCCATGTCATTGGATCCGCTACTATAGACCCCAACATTACGACAAATACCACCTTATGGTTTGAGCCCTGGGCGGTGGAACCTCGCGGCGGCCCTCCTGGACGCGCAGGCGCCAGCTGCGGGCGCGCCCGTAAAGCGTGGCGCAGCCTCTCTGGGAGGAGGAGCGGAGGAAACGAGCGAGCAGTAGTAGTAGTAGTAGTAGTAGTAGTAGTAGTAGTAGTAGTAGTAGTAGTAGTAGTAGTAGTAGTAGTAGTAGTAGTAGTAGTAGTAGTAGTAGTAGTAGTTGTAGTAGTAGTAGTGGTGGTGGTAGTAGTAG